TATCACTAATAACTTTTTATAAACTTAAAATAAATACACATTATTATACATACATGATTTTTTGATCTATATTAGCCCCACCCATTGTCAATTAATAATATTATTTTAAACTAATTAATTATCATTAATTGTCGTTGTTTATTGCCTTCCTCTTTTGTCGTTTCAACTTTTTCTTTTTCTTGCGTCCTTGAAGATCTTTTGTCCCTCTCTCCAGCTCCAGTCTCATTGCTCTTGGTAGAGGAGTAGTCACAATCTTCACAGTATCAGGACTGACTTGAACAAAACGACAACCCTCCATCTTAAACCTTTTAGAGGGCTCTTCTTTAAAAGGAACATCCTCTGGAAGCGTGTCTTTAGGTAGCTGCTGGCACCATCTAGTGAATAATGGGATCCTGGGGTAGAGATGCGCTCTTATTAGAACTCGAAGCATTGTAGTGAGCACACGTGATAGCACGTGGGCGAGCCACACCTCCAAGAAGATGGCGGCTAATAGGAGATTGAGAATGAAGAATAAGCAACTCCTCTCGTTTCTCCAGGAGATGGACACGCTAGAGAGTGCGGGCTACCCCAGACATGTATGGGATATGGAGCAGTATCCCACACCACCTGATCTTGCCTCTGAGCTACTGATAAGCTTGGAATTAGCTGAAAGAGCAATCGAAGGAAGAACTGTTATTGATTTAGGATGTGGTTCTGGTATACTAGGACTTGGTTGCTTGCTGCTAGGAGCTGAGAGAGTAACTGCGATTGATATTGATCCTAACTGCGTTAAGTTAACGCAATCAAATGCTAACGATTTAGGAATCAGCTCAGATCAGCTTAGCGTGATTCAGTGTGATATAAAGACGATTGATACTGATAAATTTGATAGAGCTGATACGGTGATAATGAATCCGCCATTTGGTACAAAAGATCAAGAAGGCATTGATAGAATATTTGTTGAAAAAGGACTAGGAATGGCCACTAATGTCTACTCCCTTCATAAATCAAGCACAGTGGCCTACTGGAGGAAAGCAGCTGCTAATGAGCTTCATTGTAATATTAAGATAATATCTGAGATACAGTTCCCTATTGAGAGACTAATAAAGTATCATAAACACAATAGGAAGGACATTAGTGTTCATGTTATAAAATTCAGTCATTGAGAATGTTAATTAGTTGAGTGGGTGGTGGGCGGAGCGCTACGGGGACCGGCCGGGCATGGCGACAGCTGGACTCTGGAATTTAAAATTTTTATTAATGAGTAGGCTCAGTGAGATGGGGGTGAGGAGGAAAAGGATTGTTCTAGTGACAGTCACAGCATCCATAATTGGATTATTCTTAGCTCTCTGTCTATTCACACCGTCCACAACCACTGATACTCACTTTATATCAGGTAAGACCTTGTTACCACTTCCTCCATCATTGTTCACACTTACTGGAAAGACGTTTCGATTATGTTATGCAGCTTGTAAGATGCTAAGAATAATGCTTAAAGATGCCCAATTCCTATTTGGGTCTGCTTTTACAGCTATGTACACTTTTAGTTTGTTTTTCATTTTGTAGGTGGAAATGGAAACCTTCCAAATCCAGACATTGATCATCTTCCCACACAAAATTTGACAGTTTATACCTGCTCCCGTCCCTCCTCCTCCTCTACTATAATTAAACACGACCTCAAGCAGATTAAGGGTATTTTTAGACGCTACGTACCAAAGAACTTTGATCCCAAATACAAGAACTATTGCTGGAGGTCTCAACTTAAGCTCTCAGCCCTACCCCACACTGTACCGGATTTACGTCAGTTATATGAAAGTCATCAACTCGTCGATCATCAAGTAAATAAATTAATACAAAAGGCTGGAGGAGCAGTAGATGGAATTAATGGAGATACACTGACTTGCATTCCTTCTGTTTTCATGGCCGGTTTTCCTAAAAGTGGCAGTACTTATATATACAAATTATTGAGCCAGCATCCGTCAATTAGTCCGGGAAAAGTTAAAGAGCCACATTTTTGGACATCGTTTCCTTTTCAGAATGAAAACAATTACAATAAACTAGCAGTCCTTACTTATCTAGCTAATTTTAAACATGCTAGCAATTGTAGTTCAACTGATAGTGATTGTGTTACTATTGACGCCAGTCAGAGTTTGATTTGGAACACTAGATACACAATCTCTGATTGTACTCTACCACGGGTCTTTAGGGAGTTATTTCCAAATGCTAAATTCATTATAAACATGCGTGAGCCAACCTCCAGGACTTACTCTGATTTCCACTCCTTTAGTCTCAATGATTGCTCGCAGTTCTTCAAATCCGTTCTTCTCTCGGAGGTTTTCGATCTTAAAATGAAATCAGAAACGGGTCACTTCTCGTCTTGCTTACAATCACATTCACTTCATTATTGTACTCAAGAGTCAATTAATTATCCTGCTAAGGTATTCAAAGACTGCGGAGAGGTTCGACTAGGTTCTAGTGTATACGTGTCTCACATTAAAAGATGGTTGGCATTCTTCCCACGAGATCAGTTCCTGTTTCTAAGACTCGACGACGTCATTAATGATCTTTATGGAACCATGAAGGAAATATGGTCGTTTCTTGGGGTACGGGTTTTATCACAAGAAGAATTTGCAGAATTAAAGAAGAAAGTTATTCGGAAACCGAAAGAGTATAATTCGATGAAGGATTCCACTAGACAGCTGCTTGACGATTTCTTTCGGCCATTTAACGAAGAATTGGCTGAGACATTAGGTGATAATAAATTTATGTGGAAATAAATTAAAGTATATTATGATTTTAGCTGATTTTTATCCTTTTTATTTATCATGAGGTAACATTATTATTATCCTTACATTTATTATTATTTTAGAATTTTTGATGCTTTAAGATTTGAAAAACTGCAGAGTATGAGCATGGTATAGTTAGAGTTGGTTGTCATCATTTCATCATAAGAGAAGTTTGAGAGCTATAGCTAAGGACTAACCTTTAATATAAATGGTTATCAGTAATTATGTAACATGAGAACTCAGAATTATTACAAAGTTAGGCATTGAATTCCCTCAAAAAATTTGAATGGGATCATAGTCATACCTCTAGTACTCTGCCTGACAATAAAAAACTTGTTCTTATAAGTAGCATATTATAAAAAAGCTATCGTGGGTTGTCTAATCTCCTCCTAGTTTATAATTATTAATATTAATTAACTTCTTTAATACCGCCAATCCTCCATCAGATCTCTTACTGAATTTGTTAATTAACAATAATTATGAAACTGAAAATTTTTCATGTTTGCCAAACGCTACAACAATAAACAACTAATTTTGATAAAATTATCTTTCAAAAAGCTTGAGCAAAAGAACAACAGCAATAATGATAATAATAATAACATTACAGTATAGCAAGACTAATAATAGTAATAATAGTAATCATGATAAATTTGGCATATAATATCATATTATTGTTATTGGAGTTTCTCGTACCCAGTGCTTGACGACTTCTTATAATGGTTTCTAAACCGTCCCACAATATAAGACACAAGAACCACCAGTACCAACCCACCAATGACAGACCCCACCACAATCGGTATAAAAGCCTTACCAGTGCTATCTTGATAGCAATCCGAACACTTGTCACTAAAGCCTTTACTGTTTCCGTAAGCCTGTACCCTCAGCTTCTTGATACTGAGGCTGAGAGCAAAATACGAAGCACGGGGATTAGCCGTGGTGTTCATCTTTAGAGAATAAGTCAGTTGACTTTTGCAATAGTAGAACTTATTGTAATCAACAGTGCCAAATAGCTCGTGGTTCTTATCATCTCCTGTGTAATAACCACTGATAATTCCATTCTCATTGCCAGTGAAACTGCTAGCATTATAGTCCGAGATATCACTCACGTTTATCGAGACTGCTATCTCACTAATGTTCCATTGCTTGTTGTCTTTGAGATCAATAGCTTCAATCATGAGATCAAATGGAGCCCATTCCTCCTCCTCATCTCCGGTGCCCCAGTAAGCTTTCATACGCGTTAGCCTCATATTCTTCTTGTTGTTAGTGTAGGGCTCGTTACAAAAGCTTTCACTCTGACTGACATGGACGGTAGAGCAGTTGACCCCCAAAGAAACGTTTTGTCGTTTGCCAGTTGAGTCATTATAGGCCACTAAGATATTGATCTCCGCGTCAAGAAAAAGACACGGCTGAGTTTTGTTCTCGGTCTTGTTAATGATATCGAAGTACTTAAAGCATATACCCCCGCCAGTAGTGCAAGAGGAGGCAGCAAGGGCGAGACAAGAGAAGAGAAACAACAGAGCAACTCCTTTCTTCCCGGCGGCCATTTTTAATTTTTTTTCTGGGCATGCGCAGTCTGACGACAGAGCACGTGTAGTCGTTGGAGAGAAAAGGGAGAGAGAGTCTCATTCCTAACACAATGGGGAAACTTAAAGTTCGTGAACTAAGAGGGAAGACTAAGGACGAGTTGCTGAAGCAGCTGGACGAGCTAAAGAATGAGCTATCACAGCTACAAGTCCAGAAAGTGACGGGAGGGACTGCCTCTAAGCTCTCAAAGATAAAAGTTGTCAGGAAGAGCGTGGCTCGAGTCAAGACTGTCATCAGCCAGACCCAGAGGCAGAACTTGAAGAAGTTTTACGCCAACAAGAAGTACAAGCCTTTGGATCTCCGCAAAAAGCTCACCAGAGCCAAGAGGAGGGAGTTAACCCCGCGAGAGAGATCAGCTAAGACGCTGAGAAGAAAAAAGAAGTTGAGCCTCTTCCCTCGTCGTGTTTATGCTGTTAGGGCCTAGTACATTGTGGACATTTTGTTATTATTATTAATATATTACTGTGCACATTTTAATTTCAAATAATATTTGTGTACAAATCAATAATGAAAACAGAAATAATTATAAGTCACACCCACTTTAGTTAATTGACCACGCCCTCAATAATTATTAATAATAGCTCACAAAGCAATAAAAAAATCAAAATATTCAATATTGAACAATTATTATTATTTCTACTTTAATTATGGTATTTGTTCGAAGTCAAGAGAGAGACAGTTTTTATAAAAATTAGCACACTGGACGTGAAACAATCTACCAGACACAAACCCAGTAGCCAGCTGGTAGTCCTCGCTACAGCCATCAATAGTAACCAATGGGGATATGAATATGTGAGAGGGTTGGAGACATAGGATACATCTCTCTTTATCTCCACCACCTCCTTCTTTGGGAGTAGCTCCAGCAAAGAATGAATTAGAACTTGTATTGAGAATCTGAGAGAGAGAGGAGAGAGAGTGATAAAGGTGCTTGTATTATTTTACATGTTTACTTTATCAATTTTTTCTTGATCAAAGAGTTCGCATATTTCATTCCATTTCTTTTTAATGTTCAACATCAGCTCAGTCAATGTCTCACCTGCAATAAAATGTGATAGAAATTTGGAGTTATTTCGGAGCCATTATTTGGAAAATACCATGGGCTATAATTTTTTAGAATTTTGGCATTTTCTTAAAATGGTCGTAACTTGAAAAATTAAAGTCGGAATCAGCTCAAACTTGCTACACAGCATAAGGACATCAATATGTATCAGAAAATGTAATAAAAATTTGAGTTGATTTTGGAGCCATTTTTTGGAAAAACCAAGGACCATAGCCTAGGATACTTATTGAAAATCGGCTCCTTAAAAAAAACACATTGGCTCAAACTTTCCACATGCATTGTAGCATATGCATTAATGCATATGTACATTATGTACATAATGTACATAATGTACATGCATTAACACATGTACATGTATATGTACATGTACATGTGTCACTCTCTCTCTCTCTTACTTTTTGAATGTGACATTAAGCTCTTTCCCTGTCCTCTTGATGATGTGTGGAGCCTCTTAGCAAACCGATACAACTCAGCCAATCCTAACAACAAACAAACAAACAAACAAACAACCTTAAAACAACAATCAAAGTCTAACAAGAGTACAAACATTAATAATATTATGCATAATTGATGTACATGTATATGTACATGTACATATAAATAATAAATACATTTAAAAGATACTGTACATGTACATGTAGTATCAATACCTTTAATCTTCATTTGTCCTTCTCTCTCATTAATGATTATATTAAGTGTCTCCTCATCATTGCTGGATGATGTTAAAAGAGACTGAGAGTCTTTTAAGAGGTCAAGACACTTCTGAAGACACTGACACCAAATCTCAGACAAACCAATAGACTAACAAAAAATAATAACATAAACTTAAATGTACAAGTACATGCATTCCTATACTTATAGGAGGCTATTGAGATATTACTGAGTCTACATGTACATGTACTACATAAAGCATGTACCACATTGCACAGTTTACATGTACATGTGTATTGTACTAACACAAAGTTCACAATCCATAGGCGGCTGCAGGGGCAGGCAATGAGGGCAATGCCCTACTAGAATTTCTTACCGGAAGATGACATCATCATAATTAGCAGTTAATTAATAATTATTTAGTAGTTATTACATGGAATATAGCTATTTTAATGACAAAAACTACATTATTTTGCTCAACAAAGTGATAATTAGTAGAGAATAAGCTGCTAACTGCATGGTTTATTCACAGGAAGACAGCCAGCTACTTCATAGGCCCATATCTATGGCCACTTCAGGAAGACATAATCTACAGTAACCTGCAGGTAGAGTAACTGACTCCATCATATAGCAGCTTCATTATTATCAGCTAGGACTCATTCAACAGCTAAATCACCTAGCTACTGATACTCTATCATTGATAGAGGTCTTTTAGGTACTGAATTTTCTCTTCTTGAACACAAGAATGGCAGGGTAACTCTTCATTGAGAATTTTAGAGCCTCTTTCAACTTGATTTCTTCACAAAATGCTGAAATAGAAGTCTTAAAGGTCTTAAAACTCAAGAGCAAGACATGTGGGTGTGGTCATGGCCACACCTACCTTTTGACCACTCCCACTTTCAGCCACACCTTTGCCCTACTTGCAGTGAAATCCTGCAGCCGCCTATGTCACAATCCAAAGGTACATGTACATGTACAGTTAAGACATGATAACTTTAAAATGTGCATAATTATAAAAATGTAAAACTCTCTCCCTCCCTCTCTTTCTCTCTCCCATTACCTTATTACTGTCAGTTGATGTGCTACTCATTGGACTGGTAGGAGAAGGTGACACTATCCCACCACCACCTCCTCCTCCTCCTCCTCCTCCTCTTCCAATAGTATGAGAGGGAGATGAAAGAACTGGTTCAGCTACTGACACATCTTGCGATTGATAGGTTGAGAACTCAGTGAATTCATCATCAGACCAGATCAACCCATCACTGGCACCAGCTGGAGCAACCCCACCAGCAACAGGACCCCCTCCTACCACTGCTACTGGAGTAGGACTCGTCATATTAATGATATTAGAGGAAGCAGTAGTGTCAGTAGAAGGAGTGGTCAATGGTTGACTGGTATCAGGGAATGAAGTAAAGTCAGCCCAACCATCACCAGTACTGGGTTGTACATCAGTATTAATCACAGGCAGCTGCTGCTGCTGTTGATGGAGGATCTGATGTTGTTGATCGTGATGTCGTTGTTGATCAATTTGTTGTTGGTTTTGTTGTTGTTGTTGTTGTGGTTCTTTGTTTATCGTGAGTAGTTCTTGAGTGCCAGGGTCGTTATTAGTGGGAGGGGCTAGTACTCTTAGGGCGGAGTAAGGATCCAATGGATCACTGGCTGGTTGAGTAGTGGGTGGAGTTGAGGTCACGCCTACTGACCCCACCCCATCAAACTTGTGAGGGACTAATGGTGAAGCTTTGAATTCACAAAAATCATCTACAAATTAAAATAAAATAAATAAATAATAAAACTATGTACTTTACATATACATGTACAACAACAATTATTATTATTAAGGCATAAAACTACATGTACATGTACATGCATGTACAACATTTATTATTATTAGTATACCAGGTAGTATACATGTACATGTAATTAATTACCTTCATTACTAGTATTGATGATATTAATAGCTTTTAATGTCGGTACTGGAGGAGATGGTGTCATTAATAAATCATGTAAGGTCACTTTAACATTCTACAAACAAAACAAACAAACAAATAAATAAATAAATATCACAGAATACAATGTAACTAATAAAACTCTTAAAGTATTAAAGTGCTCCATGTTAATGACTCACTTGTCTATTCTGTGCTAGTCCAATCAGTCCTAGTAGTTGATATAATTCAGTTTGTGTCAGTTGACCAGGTGAGGTTAGATTAACTGCCGACCAGAGATCATGAAGGACTGATCTATCAAGATCACTTGATATCAGTAGAGGGAACAATGACTCAGTGTGAGTGAACTGACTGCCGTCAATAGAACATCTCTGGAATGAGATAAAGAGACAATGATAAGGAGAACATTATAAAACATGTAATGCATGTACAGTACTAAGTTTGAGTAACAATATTTTTTTAAATGCCCAAGGACATATACATGTACATGAATATGTATAGTCCCTTATAGTACAATTGTCTCGGGCCAATTTTGAAATGAAAAAGTAATTATAACAATGAGCTTTTTGAATAAAAATCCCTTAAATATAGATCTATTTGATATACATGTATAAATCTGGGATGTTATATGTGTGAGGTGTGTCTATTGTAATTTTGTATTTAACATTATTCATGATAAGTTGATAACTTTGTGTCACGTGATCAGTACTTTGTTTTTAAATGATTAGGTATTTTGGTGGGTGTAAACTGTCAATATGGCCTCTAGTGTATCAGGTTAGTTTCATTCTTTTAAACGTTGAAATCATTTTATTTCACTTTACATTAGGAAGTGATACTGAATATATTGGAATGCTATTCTATGAGGAGGAGACAGGTTTACATAAATATACATATAAAGCATCATTTACTGTAGCTAAAGATAAAGACAAACTCCTTGATGTAAGTATAACAATAGGTACATTGTGTACATGATGTGCATTAATGTGTTTTATTTACAGTATATGAGAAGGAAGCACCCTAGAGCCGAGATAGGTCGAACTATCACCTTTAAATTTCTCCAGCAAGACTCTACACCTACTTCAAGAGGTGATTATATTGAATTAAAGTTTGATACTCCACAAGCTAAGCCAATCACTGGATGGAGCATTATACCTTTCATATCATGTAGAGTAAGTACATGTATCATGTATACATATATAATGTGTGTGTGTGTGTGCCAATAGATAAGTAGGGATCAAGTTAATGTCTATAGTGAACGTGGAGATCTCATGCATTCCTCCTGTAGAATATTAATACGTGCTAAACCTGATGCTGTTTGTAGACTACTTTATCGCATACCAGTGGAAGGTATGGTTAAACCTGTTACACTGGTTATTCACAGGACACTGGAAGGTATGATCAGATTAATTAATGTCGTGTATAGTGGACCTGGTCTAGTATTAATAACCCACCCATTAATACAATTACACTCTACTGACAATGCTGATACTAATAGAAATATTTACTACAGATCCATTGCAAACCATAATAATCATTTAATGATTTTAATAATCTATTACTCCATAGGTCGAGTCTTAGGCATTATAGATTTAATAGATGTACTTGACACATTGAATGAAGCTCACTTCTCACGGAAGAAATGGAAATCTCTTGGTTCGGCTTTAGGATTATGTGATTCTACAGTGGAAGCTATTCAGACTAATCATCTTAGAGATGAAGAAAGATGTCTTAGGCAATGTCTAGTAAGATGGTTACAGAGAGCTGATGGTGTTGATGCTAAAGGAGATCCAACAATGGCTTCTCTTTGTGATGCTCTTGAGAAAATTGGTGAGAGAGCAGCAGCTGAGCATATCAGTAAGTTATTATAATAATCATTAATATATTAATACATTTTATCTTTTCTAATGTGTTTCAAGCTTTGATAACCACAAAATACAATATATGTACATGTAGATGCATTTTACAGACGAAGTTTCATTTGAAAATTACATGTACATGTATATTATTTTGTAGGATCAAAGAATAATGTTGATACAGATTCTAATGATGATCCAGGTAATGATCCATGAATCATCTAGTTATGTCAATGTACTATCACTCATGGTAATCCTTAGTAACATTTTGCATAATTACTATGAATTTAAAACATAAAATAAATACTAAAAAAAGTGTAAACATAAAAATTTATTCTAACAAAAATTTGAGGCCAAAAAATAAACCAAGCTATACAGTATGTTTCAATTTTTAATAATTTTTGTCTGTAGAGTTATGCTACTATCGAGAAGCACTTAAGACTACTGTGACGTGTCATCTAACTAAAGCAGTCGTTCAAGGTGAAGCTCGTGTTGGCAAAACTGCTTTCAAATCACTCCTACTTGATGAAAAGTACATTAAAGAAAGTACCAGTATTGCTGAGCCAAGAGTTGGCATCCATCGCTATAGACGACATGAATCACGTGATACTGGGAAACGATATGAGCTATTGAATGTGACAGAGTTAGAAAAAATAGTTAAAAATGCTTTGAAAAAAGATGCATTAGAAAAATCGATCAGTTCTCCAGTAGAAAATGAAGCTATTGATGGTAAAGAAAAATCGATTAGCTCTCCACTAGAAAATGAAGCTAGTGATGGTAAAGAAAAATCGATCAGTTCTCCAGTAGAAAAGGAAGCTAGTGATGGTAACAACGGAAATGAATCACGCAGTGTAGGGAATGAAACACCTGACCAGGCCATTGATGGACTTGTTGAAGGAAATGAAGCCACTGATGGAGACGGAGCACCTGGTGAAGCATTTAGCAATGAAAGCAAAAGTTTGCCAAGTAAAGTAATAGAGAAAGTATTTGAAGGGTTGCAGCGAAGTTCAGGGAAGGAAAACCATCTTGAAGGTGCACATTGGCTATACCTCATTGATACAGGAGGTCAAATCGCTTTTCAGAAGTTGCTTCCAATTTTTATGCCGTTTGCTCAAGTTCTTATTCTGGTTGTTGACTTACCAAAAAAGCTTTCTAGCCAATCCAGTGGAGTGATGCACATTGAAGGGAAAGATCACATTGATGGCAGTCCACACCATTTACCAATTGAAGAGATTTTAAAACAGACAATCTCTTCAATAGCTTCTGGCATGCAGCATTTCCGGGATAGCTATAAGTATCATAAAGTTTTACACAATTTAGTTCCAGAGATATTGGAGATTCTCGCGATTGGCACACACAGGGATGAATGCAGCAGTGATACTGAAGAGTCTAAACTCACATTGGCAGAAAAATTAGCAGAAATAATTGATGCAAATGATGATTGCAAATCTGTTGGAGATAAATTAACAGTTCAAGTACATGAAATTGATGGTCGTATTGCTGAAATTCCTGTTGAAAGCCGGATAGAAACAAATGCCACTATTAAAGAAAGGAAACTCGATTTTAAAAACACTATGAGTTCTTTGAGTAAAGTACATAAGCTCTTGAAGGACATTGAAAAAAAGATCAACATTCCATTTTTCTATTACTTCTTTGATATTGTACTTCGTGTTGCAGTAGAGCAGGGATGTGGTATCTTAAAATACTCCACCTGCAAAAGTCTTGGGGAAGAATTAAAACTTTCAGAAGATGAAGTGATGGAGTCTCTTAATTTTTTGCACCAGATCAACAGTATCATTTATTATCATGATTCTAAAGCCTGCAGTGACCTGGTGTTTGTTAACATAGGCAGTCTCATTGGTATTCTCAAGGAGTTAGTCGTGCCTGTTTACAAATATCACTCCAATAAAAAAATATACACTGGAGACAAGGATGGAATTATAAAGGGAATGCTTTCAGAGTCTGAGTTTAAAAAGATTTGTAATGAACAACTTGATCCCATAGAGAAAGAGCTAAAAGATAATGATATTGCAATGAAATTGCTGAAGCTTTTTGCAGAGCTCTCAATAGCCACGCCAATAGATGATAAACATTTCATACCAGCTCTCCTTCCAGTAAGAAATGTTACAGATACCAATCCTTTTAAAGATCGTGAGCCATTGCTGTTTTACTTCAAGAAGGCTACCCCAATGGGCCTTTTCTGCTCTGTCGTAACTTGTCTTCTTTCCTGGTCTACCTACAAAATTGCTTTCATTGAAAGTAATTTCTCTAATTACATTGAATTGAAATATAGCACAGAAGGGGTTAAGTTATTCTACATTGTTCTAGTTGAACAGATGAATTGCATTGAAGTCCATTGCGAGGAACAGAGAGGTGAAGGGGTAGTAAGGGAAGATGTAAGAGAAGCTATCACTTCTGCAGCTGCAAAACACCATCTCAGTGACAATCATAGGATTCCAGATCTCCGATTTTATTGTTCATGTAAGCATGCTATTACTCATGAAGGACAAAGTGCTGGTCCTCATGAAAGTGGTACTGCTGGTGGTGGTGCTGGTAGCAGAGGAGGTGGTGCTGGTGCTAGTAGTGACAGAGGAGGTGTGTCAAAAGGGAAGAAGCATACAGTTGAAGTTGAGACTGTCAATAAGGAGCATACCTTCCGATGCAGTGAAAACCCACTTACTAAATGGGAACATGAGAAACCGTTGTGGAACTCCTGGCTTGACAGTAAGTTATTATTATTATTATTATTAAGCAAAGTAAAATACAGTCATATTCATTGATACTAATTTAATGTATTAATTATAAAGGTGCTCCGCAAGGAAGTGTATCTGAGACAGGAAGCACTGGCTCTCATCAAGAAGCCAAAAGTACAAGTACAAGTACGTTGTTAAATTGAACACATTCACTCAATCTTACCTGGCATTCATTGATAATACATGTAATGCTTAATGAAGCTCACAATCTCTGACGTTTTGTTTCTAGTTTTTAGTTTTTTTGTTCATATGATATTAACAGTGAACATATTAACAGTGAAGAACACAACCTTCTTATAGCACTGTTATCATGATAGTATTAGTCATTTCTTTGTTTTAACTGTACAGGTCCAAAGGAGATACTACAGAAATATTCAGACAAGCTAACCAAGGCAATGTCAGCAAGTGTTTGTCATGTCACTGGAGCATTGCTTGCCAAGGATCTAATAACACAAGGGACTAGAGACTATGTAATGACAGCAGTTGGTGTATCTAATGCTGATAAAGCTGGTAAAGTAATGACTGATGTGATGGGTCAATTAGGAGCTTTTCCTGATGAAAGACAGTATTTAGCTGACGTGTGTAATATTTTAACTCAACTAGGTGCAGGAATGAAACAGATAGGAAATGATATGCTTAATGAACTAGGTATGTACATGTACATGAGCTAATCAATGTTAACTCTTTGTGTTCACAATAGGATACTGACCACCCTCCTCCTGCTACTAGTAAAGGAACAACAAATTAATTTTTGCTATATCAAAAGACAATAACTTTTAGAATCTTTCTTTTTTTAATTATGTGACAATTAATAACCAGTATGAGTTTTTCATAGAGTAAGACAATTGTGTGCATTCATTGTGTTGATTATTAAATGTATCATGACCATATGTGCATTTACCCAGTATGTGTATATTAATGTATTAGTTATTAAATTCATTATAGTTATTATCATGTTATGCTCGCATCATAAAGTATGATAGAGCTATTAATTTTTGGATACTCAGTTGCTCATTATTTTAATTATTATAATGATGCTTTTAAAATTCTATTTCAATTCCTTTGTACGTGTACATTACAAGTATCCTAACAGTATCTTCTTTGGTATTATCCCACACATTATTTTTTGCATAATAAGAAGTGCCACCCACACATTAAGTGGGTGTGTTCTTGACTCTAATGGAGGGTAAGCCAAGAAATGGATCCAAATTAGTTATGTGGCCATAATGTGGGTGGTTTATCTGTAATTCGCATGCGCATTATTCCCAATATT